TGTGTGTGTGTTGTGGTGTGTGTGTGTGTGTGTGTGTGTGTGTGTTGCATGTGCGTGACAGCAGCACGGAACAGACAATCCATGGCGTTGTTAAAAACAGAGCACGCTCACATGATATACAATACATGACTGGGATGCACTGAGTTATTAGTGGTGGAAACCTTCTGCAGGCCTCAGGAGCCTCTGACACCGAGGCGACGTCAATCCGTGTTTTGTGGCAGTTTTTAATGTCACGACGAGTTCACACTGAAATACACAACAATTACATACAGTTGGGTTTTTCAGACTCATTATTTTCAAAATAATATAAATAGGTTTTGTTGTTTCTCCAGACTTGTTTAAAGCATATAGAAATATATCAACCAAAAAAAAAAAAACAAGAAACAAAAACAAATATATAAAATGAATGTCCTTAAACATAGAAAATAATAGTCCTGTTTATGCAGAAGCTGATTTTAAAAAAATTGTTTTTTCTGGGCCTTTAAAGGTTACAGTTAAAGGATGGGCGCGGTGATGGCTGAAACAGGTTGCTGGTTTCACACTTTATGGACACAAAATATGGAATATTTAAAGACCTTGCTTACAGGATGAAATACATTAAATAAAGGAGAGAAGAAGAAAGGAAAGTGTCACATATTGTGGAAGGAAGACAAAAGAAATGAAGGAGGAAAAAGGAAGTGCAGGGAGGCTAAAATGGGGGAACCGGTGGGACCGAACAAAGGAGGAGGGGAGGGTAATCCCGATGTGAGCCTCCCCAGTAAACACACACACAACACACACAACACTCAATACAACTCCATCACTTTCACACACACACACACACAATCACACACACACATCGCTGTACGGAAACTGCTGGCTGCTGCAGATCCTCGTCCATGCAGAACAAATTCCAGATTTTCCCTCCTGGCAGAGGCCGAATCGATCCCTTGTCACAACTGAGGAAGGAGGGAAGACGGGGGGGGGGGAGACGGGGGGACGGAGGGGGGGGACAACTGAGGGAATGAATGTGCAAATATTTAAAGAGGAAAAAGTAAAGATATTTTTAAAGATGAAGAAGAAGAGAGACAGAGGGAGGACCTGGAGTCGTCTCCTTAAGGCTTCCTGAAAATGTTCACTGACAATTAAGCTTTCTCCTTATCTTAGCCTCACATTTAAGAATCACTTAAACCGTTTAACTAAATTACACAAAAGACCTTAGCGACCAAAGTGAAGAAAGGTGTTTCATGTCTGTAAAATCTCTTTCACTGATGTAAATGCCTTAACTTTTGGACTGAGAGATTCTGTGCGACACCCTGAAGTAACTGCCTCAGCTAAGGAGTAATTAAACCTTAAGTCACATACTTGAAACCTCACGTGTTTTTTGTGCAACAGGCTGACAGACTAACAGTCACACGGTCGGTGCTGAATTATTTCTGGATTAGAGGCAAAAACAAACGACTGAGATCGTTCGAATTCATCGGATTTTATCGAAGCAGAAAATCTATTTTAAAGATTGAAACCACAGAGCGAGCGGGAAGTGAGGACACAGTCCGTGTTATCGCAGTGTGTAGCTCTCACTTTAAGGACTACAGTATCCCTCCATCCTCGACAACACACACACTAACACACACTCTTACACACTTCTTACACACTCTTAACAACAGAATACTGCTGCTGGGGCTGGAGCCTGGTGATAGATGGAGATGGTAGAATGGCGCAGTGCTTGTTCAAGTCCGGCGGTACATGGCTTTATTCCTGTTTCAGCGCTCTCATCCGCCTCGCTCATTGCTGCTCACTCTCTCTTCTCTCTCTCCTCTCTCTCTCTCTCTCTACACACACACACACACACACACACACACAACAACGCAACCCTTCTGTCTCTCGCCCTGTCATTCGTTTTCTCCTTCCCCCACTTCCTGTCCTTCTTCTTTCTTAAAAAAACACACATGTACTCAAACCAACCTCGCTCACTTTTACATCCTCCTCTGACTCTCTCTTACAACACACCACCACACACACACCACCACACACACACACACACACACCTTTTTAATTACGAAATTAAGGCTGACAGAACAAGAAAAACAGAACTCTAGACGTTTTATAAAAGTACTGGATTAAATAAAATCATTTAAAAAGTCAATTAAAAGTGTCCTACTTAAATCTCTTTAAATAATTCTTGATCCAGATTCATGTAAATGAATATTTCTTATTATAATAAGCTGAAGGCACATTTCTAAATTCAATAATAAAACGGAAGTAATTTAGAAAACTATAAAATTCACCTTTAAGATTTATATATTGACAATAACAATATATATATTGACAATATATATTTTCCTATCCATATTTTCTTGGCTTTTTTCTTAACTTCTAATATTAGATATTTTTTATTGTGTATCACATTTCTATAGATCTCCAGGTCAGATATGAGACCTGTAATAAAATATTTATTATATATTATACAGGACTATATTGAGGTCTTGTGCTCTCAGCTCTCCATCTCTTTATTCACCTCATAACTCTCTCTCTCTCATCTCTCTTCTCTCTCTCTCTCTACCACACACACACACACACCACTTATCTCTCTGCTCATTCATTCCCTCTCTCTCACCTCATATGAACGGCTTTCTTTACACAGTGTGAAGTATATATCCCTCTCTCCTCCCCCTGTTGTAAAGTTGTGTTTGTCGTCGATATCTCTGGTTAATCGAGTCGCACGAGGACGTCTTAATGTAAACGTCTTCTCCTCTTAAAGGAATTTTAAAGCCCACGTGGGCGGGGCTTGGGGTGTGGCTGGAGAAGGTGCGTGACTGCTTTGTTGTGACACTCACAAAGTTCCAAGAAGTCCTGAACGCGGTTTATGGGCTTCAGTTTCTGAATACAGGCTGTGTGCATTTCTCTGTGGACTGAGGCTTTGATCATTTCACAGTATTAATTACTAGAAGCTAGAGCTGATCTATAATCACACTCCACATGGACAAAGACCTTTATAATATAATCGGACCTTTAATGATCAGATTAAATTATTTGGAAATCTCAGAGAATTAAAAAAAAGAAAAGAAAAAGTAAAACAATATTTATGCCACGTGCAAAAACTGTCCTCTAGAAATTACATTTGTATTTTTCAAAATTTGTCTGTTAGTTTGATTTTTTCTTTTATAGAACGTTTTAGAATGAACAATTTTCCAGTTTTTATTCGTCACTTTCCTGTAAGCACATGACACCAGGTCGCACAGGTTAAACCTGAGGTGTCACGCCCCATTAGGTCTGTGTGTTGTTTCCCGTCCATCTAAGTTTCCCAGCCTTTCTATGTGTTACTGCATCGACCTGGCTGCGCTCTGGTGCATAGGATTCTTACGAACCGGTCAAACCTCTCATTATTAAAATCACCTCAAGATCGCAGAAGAAGAATGTTCCCTCCTGTTTTAATTGAACCGACGTCCCACGGTGTCCGCTGCTGTGCTCCTGCTCGCTGCTGCTGCTGCTGCTGCTGGTGATGATGTCTTATTTTGAGGCCACACCCCGGTGAAAACAGCGTTCCGTCTCTCTCATAGTGCAGCGTTTGTCTGAGCACACGAATGCCCTGCTGCCCATGTGTCCCGGAGCCTCCGTAACCTCCTACCTGCTCTTTCCTACTGAGCGCACTCCCAAGGGCGCCCCCACGCAGGCATGCCCTGAGAACAGGCGTGGAATTAGAATAATGCCTCTGCGGCTCTCTCAGTTATTGCAGTTGTTGTTGTTGTTGTTGTGGAGGAGGAGGAGGAAGGAGGCCCAGGAGGAGGGGCGAACGGCCCATAGGAGAAGAATGAAGAAGAATAGAGAGGAGCGACGAATTGCAGTGCTTTCATGCGTGGTTTACCTGCCCTGAGTTTAATACAGCTGCTGAAATGAGGTTGTGGTATTGTGTAAGTAAGCATTTCCTGGCTGATTTGGTTTCATACGCGTGGCAGCAGTGATATGGTGATTTCAGGGTAGCAACTTTAACAGTGGCCATAGCGGCCCTTATGCTAGGAATTAAACCAGAGTACGAACCTACAGACGTCGCCGCACATGATGCCGAACCTGATGAACTTCGTGGACCATTTAGAAGCTAAAGAGAAAAACGAATCCACCGGTGAAACAGAAACAAACAACAACACAATGTGAGACAGAAACAAAATGTCAGTCTAGTGTCATCATCGGGGTGGACGTCAGTTTAACATGATGGATGGTTTTTAATTAAAAAACATTAATAACATTCAGCCTCTGTATGAATTCCAGCCTTTGTTTTCCTTTCCTCTCGTGTTTATTGGCGTTTTTCTGACGATCTCATCTTAAGTTGATGCGTTATTTTTGTTGAAATACTTCCTACAGATGCAGAACAGCTACAGTGTTTTCTGATGAAGTCTAACTCCTCTGTCTGTGTCCGTGTCTTCTCTCCCTCTGCAGGTCCGCCTGTGAACGTAACCTGCAACATTTTTATCAACAGTTTTGGGTCCATTGCCGAAACAACAATGGTAAGTAAATTATTTTCAATATGACTTTGTAATACAACTTGACATGCGGATTTCAGTATTATTTATGCATCACTTTGTGTGTGTGTGTGTGTGTGTGTGTGTGTGTGTGTGTGTGTGTGTGTGTGTGTGGATGTGGATGGTTGGGCGGGTAATGGTAACTGTCACATTTCGTCGCAGCTCCATTTCAGCCCGAGTAATTTTAGCCCAGAAAAAAAATGCGATTAATTTAAACGCCGGCGCCGCTGATATTCGGTGGTGCATCCAAAAATTTCATTTTTATTTCCTTTACAAAAAATTAAAAGCCGTCTGCCCTCTGAGTGCTGGGGAATTTCCCCGCCTCATTGAGCCTGTCTCCCATTTCCAACACTTCATTTGAAAGAGCGCATCACCGCACGCCGCCGCCATTTGCATAACAACGCATCGGCGGCG